TAACCTAACCTAACTTAACTATTAACATAAGTATATTATAAACTAATATTAATTAAAATTAATTAAAATTTAAATTTCGCGATTATGGGTTTCGCGATTTTGTCCTAGCAATTTTATTTTCGCGATTTTGTCCTAGCAATTTTATTTTCGCGATTTTGTCCTAGCAATTTTATTTTCGCGATTTTGGGTGCAACCGGGTCTTATGAGTAGTGATTCTCACTGACCATTGGCTATTAACCTCTGATAAGACCAGTTTGACAGGTCATAGATATGTCAATATTATGAATTTGATCCTTTTATTGACAATGTTTTGATCTGGTAATATCCTTTTTACCTAAACACGCGTTTAATTGATTATAAATATGTTCACTAGCATCTAGGTTAGCTAATAGTTATTATATAGCATTGAGTTCCAAATATATAAATCTCTTAAAAATAGGGATGTATGAGCTTGATTAACTTATAAATGATTCACAGCACTAGTTATTTGCTTTTATTACAAACTTCGTAGTAATAAATATTTTATAAACTTGATAGTGTACTAATTTTATATTAATGAATCAATGATTAATAAATTTATAGGATTTCATTCATATGTTAAAATGTATTACTCGTATATTTATGATTATTTATCATTAAAAAAATAACTAGTGTTGAAAATACGTTCCTTACTCATTTACTTTCTTTAGTCTATACATCACTAGTTGTAATAATTTGTAATACATGGAACTGGCTGTTATATAGTATACTACTTGAGTACAACTTTCAAGTATCTAATGATTACCCTATCATCAGATTTATTGGATCAGATGCCACTTTCGTAGAGATTATATAGATTAAGAAAATGCATAAACTGTACAATTGTTGCACAAATTGGTGGTATGACTACTCACTGGTATCGCTGCACAGACAGACCCGTCGGTCGACGGGATGAGTGCCGTCTATGTTGGGGCTCTCGTCGACGGTTATTGTCTGACAGACCCTTGAGTTGAATCCTTTGGCGCACAGAATGTCGTGCATTGGAATCAGTTCTCACACGCACTGTACTCTTGAATGGCTAGTATTTCACCTGGATACATGGCAATTCATTGCGCGTTTATTCAGTTTATGAGTTTTAGGAGTTTGAAAGTCATCAATTATGGTGCAAAAATATAAGTAATGGCATGCAGCTCAATATTTGTTATTATTATTATATACCATTTGCTGTTTATTACTCTAATATACTTTTAAGGTTATTCAAAGTTATTATAGTCTCTTATAAAACATAATATATTTTATTTGTTAAACTATTCTCTCTCTCTCTCTCACACACACAAAGTAATTAATAGAAAAAATAAATTTAATTGATTAGTTTAACGTTTACATTTATATGTATATTCGTGATTCCTTTACAAAACATTATTTTTTAAACATGTATTAAATGTTTTCTACTAATATATGGCAATATTCTGTAAATACTATATGATCATATAATCATAACAATACTTGATACACGATTATTATATCATATATTGTGGTATAAGTCGACTGTGAAACCCTCTCCCATAAAAGTATATACCATTTGAATGAATGGTTTGATTTCTCACATTCAAAGAAAATATATAATCATTTTGTCATCCATTTTTCAAAAGTATATCGCAGTTTGAATACATTTTCTTGTTTTTTCGTATTTGTCTTTTTCTCTAACCATTAATTCGATGTCTTTTTCTTTCATGTGTCGGACGTTATTGAACTCTCTTTTGAAAATATATTTTTTGTTTTCTTTTCTTAAAACAAAAATCTTATTAACTTTTAAATAAAAAACGCATTTCTTTCTTAAGGAGATTAATTCCAGATATGGCTGACTGTCCATTAATTTCCATATAATCATTATATGACGAATGTAGCAATAAATAAATTTGGATATTATTATTTAATATTCATATAATTGATGAATGTACAAATAGAAAAATTAGTTGATTCAAACTTTGCTTCAATTTGAAAACTCCAAACCCATATAAAAACTTAATATGAAATGCAATTCATTGATTAACAAGCGAAAATTGCATGAAATTTGAATCACAAAATTAAAAAGCATTTGTTTTGTTCATAATTAAAGCGATCGATTATATTGCAATCGAAATGCAATATAAAATGCAATCCTAAACATAGAATTAAAGCAAATTCTGTGGAAATATATGAATATTTTAGGAATAATACTATCTTGGTCACTGATACACTTGGGGTCCACACCCCAAGACCACAGGCCGTCCCCTTGGCAAAGGCGCGTTTCGTGACCGACCAATCGGTAGCCATCGTCGCACGACAACCTGACAATAGTATCTCTGAGCAAACAATTTGATTGACAATTCAGTAGATTTCAAACATTTAGTTTGTAACTAAATTCTCGTACTAAATTTAATTCCCAAATATTTATATGAAATTTCTTTGAACTTATTTAATAAGTATTTTCAATAAAAAGTTTCATAATTCAATTATCGGTAGAAATAATCATAAATATATTTTTTATTATATTAAATTTCATTTTATTAAAAACATTTCAATTTGAAAATAGTATCGGAAAAATAAATGTCTCATCGAGGTAAAAGCAAAGTAAATGACAATAATATGTTTGAATACAATAACAAATATATATAGGAATCAATGGCAAGTTTTTTGATGACATGAATTCAATTTAATGTATCGATTAAAAAACATGATTAGTTTGTAGTTTATTAGATAGTTTGCTAATTAAGTCTATTTAACACTCGGCCTCCCGCGCCGACGTCTCGATCTCTTTGATAGCCTTTCCACCGCCATTTCCGGGCATACTTTCATTTTCCTTTTTGGCGTTTGAATACTCTATAAACGGCTGTTGTCTACGGGTTTCATACAAATAACAAACACAATAATTAGAGAATACTCAGCGACAAGAGCACAGGTATGCGAATGCGGACTTACATTCCGGGCTCTCCAGTGTAGTGCTCCTTTCCATTGCGTCGGGAGTACACGAAACACCCGATCACTAGTATAATCACTATAATGATGGGCAGTATGACGACGACGCCGATACCGGCTATCCTTCCGGTGTATTTGAGATCACCTGAAAGTAGCGTAACATTGGAGTCAATACATTGTCTATGAAACCAAACACTAGTTATTGTTAATTATGGGTCAAACACTTACCGATACACTCGGGGTCCACACCCCAAGACCACAGGCCGTCCCCTTGGCAAAGGCGCGTTTCGTTACCGACCAATCGGTAGCCATCGTCGCACGAGAACCTGACAATAGTACCTGGCCAATACCTGTTCTCAGACTTGCGACCATTCAGGGGCTTCGGTAGGGCCGGGCATCGGGGATCTGTAAGTCAAACACACGTATAATTAGTATCTGGCGTGTGAATGGACGGGTATATAGTCTCACATTTCTTATTAGCCTCATTGGCCAGGTAGAGTGCGTATGCCTCGTGTTGCTTGGTCACTTTGGCGTAGTCCTTGTTGAGGGTAATCACGTAGTCGTACTGACACGACACGGAGTCGGCGCACACGGAGTCCATTTCGGGGCGCAGGTGTTCGGCCCAATCGGGCAGTCGCGGGGGTAGACCGAAGTCGGGCAGGAAGTTGGGGTCGTCGTAGTGGGCGAACGGTATGGCGTCGTGATGGAAGAGGGAGGCCACCT